GAAAATTTTTGCTGTGTCATCTCAGGTTACTTAGAGATGAGAGGTTTTTATGAAAGAAAGATAATACCAATATAAGCCTGTTGCAAATCTGCATTCACCTCTTAACACTTTGCCTGTCAGAAATGGTATGTTGCAGAAGAATCAGTTTAGGAATATCCTGGCACTTTAAATTTGCTTCGTATGTAGGATTTTTTATTCAAATGTGTAAGTTTTCAACTGCAGTCAGAGGTGACCCACTTTAAGGAAAAAAATTATCCTATTGTGCATAATCTTTCCTCATTTATCTCTCCTTGCAAAACCCATCTATTTTTTTCTGGGCACTCTTTTCTAGAGAAATTACCTCTCTGAAGCATTGAAAAATGTTTATAAATAAACATCCTGTCCTAATTCCATACTTTCCCCTGAACTGAACATTAACATAATGCTGCTGGAAATAAGTTCCTTATGGGGGGAAATGAAAAAAAATCATATCTCAAGGAACAGAGAAAGTAAGTTACAAATAATCCTGGGAAGAATATTTTGTTATGGCAGCAGTATATTTGTTGATAAGGTTTGTAACATGAAAAGAAAGTGAAGGATGCAGTTTACTGAATCTGTGAAAAAAAAAAGATCTTTACAGAATTCAGTCTTGTTGAAGTAGTGGTAGTAAGGGTTGTGCCTTTATAAGTGTGAGTGGGTGTGATTTACATTTCTGTTTTGGCTGACACTACCATCTCCTTGGCCATCTCTTCATTCCAGTCTTTGGTAATGAAATACTTTCTGCCACTAGTGCAGCTGTATGAGTTATAATTGATTTGCTTTCCTAATTATACAGGGAGAGGGACAATCAGGAGGCTGAGATCTGATGACAAAGAATCTTCTAGTACAGGGGTGTCAAACTCAAGGCCTGGGGGCCGGATCCAGCCTGCGAGGTACTTAGATCTGGTCCATGGAGCTGCCTGGAAACAGTGAAGGACCGGCCCACAGTGCTTCTGCCAGCACAAACGGGCTCCTGAGCTCTGTTTTTGGCTGCCACGGCCTCCTGCAACCCTTTGTCAGTGAAAACGGAATTTGGGAAGGCCGCACACAGGTGGGCAGAGGGTTGCAGGAGGCTATGGCAGCCGAAAACAGAGCTAGAGAGTCTGTTTTGACAGAGCACTCGGGCCACCACAGTGCCTCCGACAGGAGTGATGTCAAGCTGGCCATGTCCACCCTGGCCCCCCAAGGTCAAATATAACCCTGATGAGGCCCTCAAGGAAATCGAGTTTGACACTCCTGTTCTACTACTTCACTTCTTTTGTTGAGAAACCATGCTTGGTAGCAGCATTCCAAGCCTAGGGGCTTGCTGCCAATTTTTATTACCACTCAATGCATCATGACAGCATCTGGGGAAGGAGATGGAAGTTCACAGAATCAGCAGTCTGATGTGGAAGATTTGGTGTACAAATTGTTATTGGTAGTCCTTAAGAGCTGCTTTGGATGGTGAGGTGTAGATATTAGCCTGTGATATTGTGGTATGACATTGGGACCAGAATTTCAGACCATTGCTGGCACACTACAAACTAAAAAATTAAACTAAAATTTGTCACCCAGGGTTGAAATGAGGGATCCTTGGTGCTCACTGAGCTTGGTTGTTTTCTTGCAGACCAAACTAAGTAACATCTAGCACTGATGAAGATACCTAGTTTGGGTAATGAAAGGTCTGCAACAAAGCAACCAAACTCAGAGAACGCCAAGGATCCTTCATACTACAAACTGCTTTGAGATGGGGCGGGGTCACCCCGTTCTCCCCCTACTCCCTTCTGTTGAGGTGGGCTAAGCCTGAGGCAACTTCAGGCCTGAGGGATGCCTGTGTGTGCCTCCCTGCTGGGCTCTATACTTAGCCAAGTCCCAGCCCCCTCTTATCAGCCCAGCCATGTCATCAGAGAGTATTTTTGGGGACAGCAGCTGCAGGCATTTGTAACACTTCAGCTTTGCTCCACTCACAAATGCCTGGGGAGCAGGGCAGAAGGAGACCAGGGTGCTACAGCATAAGAGGGGCAGACAGCAATTAGGGTGTATGAGGAAGAGTAGGCAGGCAGGCAGACAACAGAGATGCACAGACTGATCATGGAACAGGAAAGGACAGAGAAGTATTGAGGAGAACAATAGGAGTTCAGACCCATGAATGATTGAACAGCTGGACATCATCTGACAGGACCAGGAGAAGCAAGAACCGGTTGCCTGTGAAATCGGATACATGAGGTTAGTGAACCCAGAGAGAGAAGCAGGGGGTGCTGTTGGGAAACCCTTCCTACGCCCCCTTTTTAGCTTATGTCCCTATGCAAATAATGGGATCAAAGAGAACCAAAGTTGCCTAGGAGGGTATTCTGGATGCTTCTGAATGATGAGGGCCATACAATCAGTAACCATTCCTGGTTGCTGAGTAACATATCCAAAGGAAAAAGGTTTTGGGGTACCAAAGGAAACAGACTACAGGCCTTGGTGATCTGGAGCTTTGTGGAGTGAGACAGACCAAGAGTTTCTCCCATATCAGCCTTCCTCTCCATGAAGTGGCTGCCATCCTGAGCAGCTTCTCCTTGCTGTTTCCAACAGGTTATAGGGAATACTAGAATCACCTCAGTGAGAACTGAGGGAAAAGAAAATGGTGTTCCATCTGGCTGGAATTCTCCCCCTCACTTTCTTCTGGGGGTGGGTGCACTTGGTGGCAGTGAGTGGCAGCCTATTATCAGCAAAACACTATTTAGAGCCTGATAGGGGAGGAATGCATGATAGGGCAAGTATGCCTGGCAGGCTGTGGTGACAGTTGGGCAACTGGATCCTCTCAGCACTGGGGTAGCGTTTCAGCAGGGAAGATGAATTGGGAAGCCCCTAGTTCAAATCTTCCATTACTCTGTCTCTCATTAAGGGGTCCCTGTGTGCAACTGCCTTAGTTCCTACTTGCCCTATTATACACAGTCATACAATATTGGGATTGTGTATATATATATATACACCCAATATTTTTCATTAGACCTCCTTCAGGTCTACTTTGTAAATCAGAAATTTAGTTTGCATTCCTCTTTCTGGTGGATTGAACAGGTGCTGTATTGAGAAGGGCTAGAGCGTGGGGTGGACAACCCAAGACCCAAGTGGTAAACTGGTTAAAGAGGTTGGACTAGGACTCCCTCAATTCCTTCTTGTAAACATCTGTTTCAAGCCATAGGGATGTCAAAATGGTGTCCTGAACAGTTTTGTAACCTCATCATTCAAGTTACTCATGGCATTTACACAATGTGTCACAAGTAATTTGAATGAAGAAGTCACTATACCTCATTATGGAACTACTTACCAACTTCGGGTCTGTTTAACATATTTCTCAGGGTTGATGTGGTGTGCAACATTTTTTTTAAAAAAGGAAGCTAAATTCCCATGTAAGCTGCCTAGTTTCCGGAAATAAGGTGGAATATAAATTTCAAAAGCAAGCAAAAAAAACAAAAAACGAATATTGTGTGCTCTCAGCCCCCTTTTTTTTGTTTGCAGCTGTTGAAATCCATCTGAACACAACTGCTGAAAATCAACTGTATCATCTGACATTTGAGGTAGGAGATACCTAAAAATGTAGTGTAGCCTCTCAAAAGTTTTAAAATGAAATAGGTTGGCTCCCTCAAAACCTGGCAAAACAAAAGTGGCTCTAAAAATGGCTTTGTGTGTGACATGATAACTCACTGATTCTGCCCTCATGGCAGCCCTCATCCCTCTGAAAACCAGGAAATGTAGTTCTTGAGTGGCTTTCAGAATTAGTAGCTCTCTGGCTATTAATGATACAGATAAAGAATACCTTGAACTGGCTGAAGATGCATAGGTGCACAAAAAAAGACACCCACTTTTATGCAAACAGAATTGCACTAAAGGTGATAGTTCTGGCATGACCTTGCCTCATGCTACTGGGAAAAGCTGCAAAGATTAAAGCAAGGAGACTTAATGTCTCCCTATTTCAGTGTTTTTCAACCTTTTTTGTGCAAAGGCACACTTTTTTCATGAAAAAAATCACGAGGCACACCACCATTAGAAAATGTTAAAAAAATTTAACTCTGTGCCTATATTGACTATATATAAAGTAATTTTCCCACGGCACACCTTACACTATGTAACGGCACACTAGTGTGCCGCGGCACAGTGGTTGAAAAACACTGCCCTATTTGTTATTTTAGTTTCACAAAAGTATCTATTCACTACAGTCCAGTTCCCAGTTTTAACATATAATTGCCTATTAACGCCATGTAGATTCGCCTAGCTCAGCTGAGATCAACACAATGCATCAAAATGTTAGCCTCACAAAAGGATTGTGTAAAATAAGAATACAGTATGTGGCAGGGTTAGCCTGGAGATGCCATTTGTTGCAGAGAGGGCAGTGAGAGTAGTAGGCTGGAATGGCTTTGGACTCCCCTTGCGGAACAGCTTCACTAGGTGCCCAGCTTCCCATTCAGTCCAGGTTTTATAACATCAAGGCTGAGTAGCAGTGTGATTAAAGCCAGAGTTAGAACTTTATCCAGAAATGCAGGAGAGAATGAGGGTGAAATGTGAAGTGATCATGTGTGCCAAACTGAGCTCTGAATTGTTTTCTCCATGCAGTTTACTGTTCTCATTTCATCTAAAGTGAAGATACTGACCAGTGGTAGGATTCAAATTTTTTTACTACCAGTTCTGTAGGCATGGCTTTGTGGGTGTCACAGTGGAAGGTTACTGCAATATCCCCATTCCCTCCCCACCCATTAACCTGCTTTCCAGCTCTGTTCTCCTGTTCAGGGCAACAAAAGAAGATTAGCTGTGAGGCAGCGGGGGCGGGGCCAGCCTATTTGTCGGTTCTCCGAACTACTCAAAATTTCCGTTACCGGTTCTCCAGAACCTGTCAGAACTGGCTAAATACCACCTCTGATATTGATTTCCTTTCAACCCTTCCTGCTCCTCTAATTATAACACTGCCTTGATTTGATTCTTTATAGGTCCCTGACCTCAGCTGACTCCCCATTAGGCTGGCAATGGATGCTTTTGGTGGAGCTCCCCGATTCCTTGCCTCTCCTCGTACTTTCTCAGTCCAAAGTGGCACGAATGCCATCCTGAAGTGGCAGGTGGCCGGGGAGCCGCGTCCCAGCATTGTCTGGGAGAAAGATGGCTCTGTGCTAGAGCTGCCCTCTGGCCGGATGTTTCTTGAAGTGAACGGGGATGCATACAGCCTGCTGGTCTCTCAGGCTGGCCCAGGGGACAGCGGACGCTATGTGTGCAAAGCAAAGAACAGTGTAGGTGAAACCTATGCAGCTGCTCTGCTGAAAGTGGAAACAGGGTCCGAACTGAAACCTAATGGAGATCTTGACTGTCAGCCTCCCACCTTCTTGAATAGGCCTGTCTCAGCATGCGTGACCCGGGGTGAAGATGTGACTTTTGCCTGTAGAGTCTCAGGGCAGCTTGAATGGAAAAAAGATGGACGCAGATTATCAGACATCTTTGAGAGCAGCCATTACAGAATGGATGTAGAGCCTGGGGATTGGCATTCTCTGCACATCTATAACACCCGATTGCCAGATGCAGGCGTCTATGTGTGCCGAGCACAGAACAGCTTTGGGGAGAGCATGGCTGCAGCGGTGCTCCTGGTAGACCCTGTGGCATGCCTTCCTCATAATGACCCATCTCAAGGGGCTCTGCAAAACAGCCATTTCAAGAAGCCACCTGAGTCACAAGAGGATAAGAGGCATCCACACCACCCTGCACGCATTGTATTGTCTGAAGGCAGGCAGAATGGAGAAGTGCTTCCCAGCTCCCCCCCTACAAAGTCTTTTACTGTGAATGAAGGGAAGCATGCCAAGTTCCGCTGCTACGTCATTGGCAAGCCCAAGCCGGAGATCGTCTGGCAGAAGGATGGGAAGGTGTTGTCCCCTGGACGAAGACACCTGCTCTACGAGGATAGAGAGGGCTACTTCATCCTTAAGGTGTTGTACTGCACAGCACGAGATTGTGGACTCTATGTGTGCACAGCCTGCAACACTGCCGGCCAGACGCTCAGTGCGGTGAGACTCCATGTCCAAGGTATCCATCCAAGGGGGAGGAAAAAGAGTGGGGTGGGGATGTGGGGACACCACTGAACCTGCATGAGAACACATTGATTGGGTTTACATATCAACTTTAATTGACCTGGATAAATGGGTTCTGTAAACCCAGCCATGTGGGTGGAATTAGTGAATAAAAATGAATGGGCAACTCCAAAAGAAAGAATTGTTGATTTAGTGCTTGACAAATCAAGCACAAGACAAAATATGTAGGCATTACTTAAAAGGCATGACAAAGCATAAATGTTAAGCTTGAACCAGTCTATAAACCAATCCAGCCCATGATAGATTAGTTAAACCCAAGAGGAATGGCCAAACCACTTGTGAGAACGGGAACAGGTCTAGAGCAAAAAATTTTCAGATGGATTACAAGATGAGTTTCAGAAGCAGCAGGGAGTCTTTAGACCTTTATGAAAGTTGCAGGATCGCAAGCAGAAACTTGGTTGCAGCCTGTTACCTATTCTCTGAGAGATCCAAATGGTCCTTGGGCTCCATTCTTGAGGTGTGTACACTCTTTGTCAATAACAGTACCTATGAACTGCAGAGTGGTTTGGTCCATGCTAGACGAGATGGACAGCAAAGCTTTGTTTTCTCTCAAGAGAAGGAACATGGCGTGTGAGATAGCAACCATTGATAAAAGCTTGGCTGGACATGGTTCCTTCTACCTTGGGTTAGGAATATGTCTTGATCAACAAATGTGAATTTAGAGTTCAGCATGTAGGTAATAGTCTTCTCCACCTGCACCGATTCTGTTGTCTTCTATGGCTTAGGAAGGAGAGTTTGCTGGCCAGCCAAGTTTAGTGAATGTTCCTGGATTATACAGTCTGGAGATGGAGCCTAGCACAACTGAATGATCTTCTATATTTAATACATGGCCCAGTTTTCTCTGAACATTCAGTATGTGCAATGGAAATACTATCGTTGTGTGATGTACCACCAGCAATCAGAACAGAAACATTTAATACTGCACCTGCTCTTTAATTTGATAGGGATGGACTACGTCTACCCATACAGTGTAATTTAATATATTTTAATTATTAATTAAATTTATATAGCCTTCCATCTCACAAAATTTCCATCTCTCAACAAAAATTATGAAGACAAATATACCAGCAAAGGGAGGACAAGAATGGACAACTAGCAATGGAGTAATCTGAGCATATATCCAGATCCTTGGGACCTGGACCTGATCATATAACTAGATCTTGAGGGACTTTTGGAATATCAAAAGAGTGGAGTTAATAATCTAGTTTCTGGGGGAAGAATGTTCCATAAGGCAGACATCATGTCAGATAAGGCAAGTCTCCTGGGACGCAACAAATATAGATTCCTAGCTGATGGCACCTGCAGCATGCCTACTCTGCCAGTACCTATGGAGAAGGCTAACGTAACCAGGGAGAGGCAGTTCCTCATATAGTCCGGTTCCATTCCATTCAGAGCTTTAAAGATCAAAGCCAGTACTTTGAATTCAAAGCAGACTGGCAACCAATGCAGCTTGTGTAGTAGAGATGTAACATATGCCATTCTAGAAGTGCACATAACTGCCTTTGCTGCTATATTTTGTACCAGCTGAAGCTTCTGGATACACTTCAAGGGAAGTGCCATGTAGAGCCAATGCAATAGTCAATCTGGAGGTAGCTAAGGCATGAGTAAGTGGTCTACCAATCCAGAAAAGGGTGCAACTGGTGCACAAGCAGCTGTGCAAAGGCTCTCCTAGCCATGATGCCACTTTCCCTTTGAGCAGGAGTCATGAAGCTAGGAGCACCACGGGACTGCACACTGTCTGGGACAGTGCACCAGAGATGGCAAAGTCCTAGAATTAGTGGGCCCCACAATTCAAAACCATTCAATCTTGCAATTCAGCTGAAGCTTGTCATTCTACATCTAGACCCCCATAGGCTCCAGACATCCAGATATGACATTCATGGCTTATTTAATTTTATTAAATAATCAATAGTTACATCTACTAAATTTTATTTAAAATTGAATTTATTTTTATGAGAGCCAATACAGCAGAACTATTCAACTTGCTAGGGTGGTATCTGGAATAATTTCCCCCTCAAAACAGCTTATTAAATACTTGATACTGGGTTTTAGATGCAATGCAAAATTTCATTTAGTGACAGATCTCAGTCTGATGAGAGACTGTTGTTTAAGACAAGGCTGCTATTCAACCTCTGACATGCTCCTGGGATTGCTCCTTGCCTTCAGGACTGCATCAATAGAAGGAGGGATTCCAAGTTTAGCTGCTCTGACCCTTAGCTTTAGAACAGACCTTAACAGTAACAGAGTTGGAAGGGTTCTTGGAGATAATCTAGTCCAACCCCCTGTTCACGCAGAAGACCTATACTAGGGATTCGAACTGCCGACCTTTCTGATTGACAAGCTCAGTGTCTTAGCCACTGAGCCACCTAGCCAGGCTACCTTCAGAATGGCAGAGATCATAGCATTAAAAAGATGGGGAAAGACAAGAGATGGGATATTAATGGAACTGAGGCAAGGCAACTGATAAAGAGAAAGAAAATAGGGTTATAGAAATGCTTTTGACTGTGTAGGTCATGATGGATGGATTTCAGGCCCTTTGCTTTTCCAAGAGAGATGCTTGAAATTCATGAATTTTGCAGAATGCTCTGGGGAGAGCAAGAAGGCGGATAAAGCGGACAAAATGCCATGTGAAGCTCTGAAGGAGCAGCAATGTTTGTTTAGCCTGGAGAGGAGAATCAGAGGGGCGGATGTGAGATAACAGGATTCAGTTATATGTCAAAGGCTGCTCTTGGTCAGGAAATCAGCTGTTATCTAAATCTCTTGAGGGTCAGACAAGAGAGGAGGTGGGCTTGAGTGACAAAAGAGGAATGAAACAGGAAGGTTTTTCTGCCTGTAAGAATAGCAGTGCAGTAGAATACCTTACCCAGAGAGCTTGTAGCATCTGCACTCAGTTGAATTTTTTTTTTAATAGGCAAAATGTATTTCGTGATGGGACCCTGTGTAGAAAAAGGGAGGAAAAAAAATAGAGAAAGAGGAAGACGGAGGGAGAGATGGCAGACTGTTAACAGAATAGCAGAGTTGGAAGAGACCTTGGAGATCTTCTAGCTCAACCCCACTGCTCAAGCAGAAATCCTACACCAGTCTCTTCTTAAAAACCTCCAGTATTGGAGCGCCCCCAACTTTTGAAAGCAAGTGGTTCCACTGATTATTCTGTCAGGATTTTTTTCCTTAGTTCTAGATTTGTTTTGTCCTTGATTAGTTTCCATCCATTGCTTCTTGCCCTGCCTTCAAGTGCTTTGGAGAATAAGTTGTCTCCCTCTTCTTTGTGGCCTCCCCTGAGATATTGGAACACTGCTATCATGTCACCCTCACTTCTTTTCATTAAATTAGACATACCCAATTCTTGCAACTGTTTTTCATGCTTCAGCCTTCAGTCCCCTAATCATCTTTATTACTCTTCTCTGCGCAATTTCTAGCATCTCAATATATTTATTTAAATTTAGATCAATTACATATTTATTTAACATTTATTTATTTATTTATTTATTTATTTATTTATTTATTTATTTATTTATTTATTTATTTATTTATTTATTATTTGGCTTTAAATGGCTTTAAAAGATTTGTGTGGCCGCCCATCCAAAAATGCAGCTCTGTGTGACTCATATCAACTTTAGGTGGCTCACAAACAACCCTGATGGGGTTGTATGCATAACAGTAGAAATAACTGGCCAAAGCCACATTCAATGATTGAATGAAGAAATGTTTCTCAACCTTGCCATGCTGGCTGGAGAATTCTGAGAATTGAAATCCATACTTGTTAAAGCCGACAAGGCTCAGAAATATCGGAATACACTTAAACATTAGCCAACAGAGCCTTTATTTATAGCATAGGCAATGCAACCAGTACATCAGTAAATAAATATAGGAAATTAAGCTTTAGCTTGGTCTTCTCCAAGAAATGCTAATTTCCTGTAGGGTAATATTATCCAATATCAGATGAAGTGGTGCAGACTGGTAAATCTCTACCTTATCTCATCGGCACACTCAAAATGCTATTTCCAAGGTGATTTTGCTCCTCCAAACATGACAGACATATTGATGAATTTTAATTGCCACATCCTGAGGATAAGAAAAGCGGCTCATTTGGGTCTCAGCACTAACATCTACTTAACCCTCGAATTTCTTGGCCCTGGAAATTGGAAGGAAAAAAATAGAAATGATTTTTCCGTTCAATATAAATCATGGTGTTTCCCACTCTGTAAAGAGACTACACGTTGTTGATTAAGGGAGGGGCTTAAGCCTGGCGTCTCTTTTCGAGAAACAAAACCACTGGGCTCAATTGTGCCATCTAAACAACTCCCACCTGTCTTTTCAAAGATATTTGACATTGCTCTTTCCTGCAATTTCATCTCTGTAACTCTGATCCTTGGCTTGCTGAAGGGGTAGACAGGTGTCCTTAGCAGTGGCTCCGAAGAGCTGATGGTACGGCCCTTGAGCGCTATAGATACCACATGCTACCCACTTAGCACTCTGTTCTTGTTCAGAATAATCCTTTGGAGAAAGGCCACCCTCTTCTCTGGCAGCAAACCAAGGTAGAGTCCTCATCTCCTCAATAATCTGCAAATCTTAAAGGTTAAAAAATAATGGCATTAAATGTTTGGGTTCATATTCCTTTGTCAGTGTAATGTAAATCATTCTAAAAAGCGGGTCGCCACCATTCATTAAAGCAATTAAGTTCACCCTTACACCCATCATCAACATTTTCTCCTTTGATAGTAAATTATTCAGTGAAGACTATGGGACATTGTTACAGCATTTGTTAGAAAGAGAAGTTATCTTTTTAAGAAAGGTTCAGTATTAATTAAGCCTGCGCCTATTACTGATTACTCCTTGTGGGCAAATCCTACAGATCTTAGCTGGGTTCATCACAGTTTCTCAGGAGGGATTAAACTGTGGCTAGCAAATACATGCCAGAAAAACCAATAGAAATGGAGGACATGGATTTCTGGAGGCATTTCATGGATTGAACAGCGGCAGCATTTTAAATATGCTAAGAGTTCTTTCTCATTTATTTATGTTTATTAAGAATAATAAAAGATAAATCAAAGGAAAGGAAAAACTGCATGAAACAGGAAAACAGGGAAAGTTAAGAAATATAATGACCTCTAACCTGCTTTTCAACAGATAGCTACAATTTTATAATCCCTCTTCCCTCTTAAATATATAGTCCCTTCAGCCTCTCGTTTAATCCAAGTCTATCTTAATCTTCAAACCCAGAAACCATCAGTTCATTTCTGTCTTTTTTTTTAAAGCCAAAATCCATATAAGGCTTCCAGTCTTTCAAAAAAGTGTTTGTTTGCCCCCCCCCCCCCCAATCAAACAGCTCAGTTTTGCCATTTTTGCAAGTTCTGACATTTTCACAACCCATTCCTGACATTTTCACAATCCATAGTGGGGATTTCATTATTCTTCCATTATTGTGCATATAATAACCTAGCATTTAAATATTCTAAAAGGGTTCTGACCCCGAGGGTCGATAGTGAGAGGGGAATTATGAAATAAAATATGTGAAAGCTTAAGAATTGAAGGTGGAGGGTTGGGCTGGCATTTTAGGGAGACTAGGGATACAGGACTATATAGGTAGTCCTTAAAATAATTACTTTAGCAATGAAAAAAGTGACTTACACATTTACAAACATTGTAGCATCCTGATGGTCACGTGATCAAAATTCAGATGCTTGGCAACTGGCAGGTATTTATGACTGTTGCACTATCCTGGGGTCACGTGATCTCCATTTGTTAACTGTCCCAGCTGGCTTCTCATGAGCGAAGTCAGTGGGGGAAGATTTGATTAAATGACCATATCAGAGTGGGTTGCTCCTAGTTCAGCCCACACCGGGCAAACCGATAGTGGCAGTGGTGGGAGGCTCCTCCCACCCCCCAGATGCTTCTGTACATGCGCAGAAGCATTGCACATGCCCGAACCAGTAGTAAAAAAAAATGGAAGCCCACCACTGGACCACATGATTCACTTAATTGCAGTGCTTTGCTAATGACTATGGCAAAAAGGTCACAAAAGCAGGGCAAAACAACTGCCTTGCTTAGCAACGGACATTTTGGGCTCAATTGTGGTTGTAAGTTGAAGACTTTCCATAGGTCTCCACGTGGAGTCTTTCTGTGTCTGTCTTCCAGAACCCCAGCTACAGTTCCAGGCACCTTTGATGGATGTAGAAGTGATGGAACACCAAGATGCAGTCTTAGAGTGCCAGGTGCCTCTAGAGACAATGCCTACCACATGGTATCTTGAAGACAAGCGCCTGCAACCCAGCCCCAAGTACCTGATGGAGGAGCAGGGCCTACTGAGGCGGCTGACAGTGCGTGATGCACGGGCCGATGATGACGGCATCTACCTGTGTGAGATGGAAGGCAAGGGCCGCAGCATTGGGGAGCTCTCTGTGCAAGGTGAGGGGTTTTTGAAGTAATTGCATCAATTCAAATAAATTACTAGAATACATTATAATATTTTTACATGCAAAGCCCTTCAGGTAATTCACCTGATACCTAGGCTCGGCAGTTCATCTGTGCAAATTCACCCTTAGTTTAGCTCTCGGCTCGATTTGGCAGCATATTCACAGACATGACTTGGCTAGAGTAAAAAAATATTTATTGCAGATCGGAATGAAATCTCAAAAACAGCAGCTAATTGCCCCCAAGAGCCAGAGATGTCTATGTCTCTGCTCCTGAAGTCTAGGCTTTATCCTCCTGCCGTTCAGGAGTATTGGATATTGAGTGGGTTAGTTGGTAGCTTCAGAAGAGAGGGTTTTTTATTTATTTAATGGATCGCCAGCCTCAGCCTTTACACATTGTACAAGTGGATAATCCTTTGTTTGGAGAACCGTCAGAGGACAGGGCTGTGTTTGAATTTGTCCTTGGATATAATGGCGAGTGCAATCTAAACTCCGTGTAGTGATAAAGAACCCTATCAAAGCAGGAGCTTTGACGTTAGCAACTGCGGAGAAGATTCAGCAGGCACACTAAAAAAAATATTATGTTCTTAACATAATACAGTTTTGAATTGCCTGCAGTAGACCAAAACTGGAGCCTTGTTTACCTTGTGGAAAAAGACTCTGGTCTTTTCCACCCTAAGCCATTCAGAAGTGTGTTTCAGGCTTCTGTAGTACATCAGAATGTACTGTATTATATATATACATATATTGCATGAGGGTGGCATAGGTGTTTTATACTGTGGAATTTTAATGTTGTAAGCCTTCTGGAGTCACCCTGCATAAGTTGGGCATTCATATACATTTGTTTAATAAATAAATAGAACTCCAAAATTTAAACTGTTACCAAGTAGGTACAGGTAATCCTTGATTTACAACAGTTTATTTACTGACCGTTCAAGTTACAGTGGCACTGACTTTTGAGCATTTTTCACACTTACGACCTTTGTTGCAGCCCCGTGAACATGTGATCCAAATTCAGATGCTTGGCAACTGGTTCATGTTTATGAACCAGTTGCAGTGTCCTGGAGTCATGTGATCCCCTTTTGTGACTTTCTGACAAGCAAAGTCAGAGAGGAAGCCAGATTCACTTAACAACTGGGTTACTAACTTATCCACTGCGGTGATTCACTTAACAATTGTGGCAAGAAAGATCATAAAACGTGGCAAAATTCACTTAACAACAGAAATCTTGCGCTCGATTGTGGCTGTAAGTCGAGGACTGCCTGTATTCCCTCTATAAGAAGACCCAATAGAGTGATATTACATATCTCTAATATTAATAATGTAAATCACAGCCCTTCTTTCTGGCTGTTAATAAGCGGCCACCCCAACATGGTAGTGCCTGCAACATGTAATCTTGCTGACGGCTAAGTGTCATTTGGGTTTCCATTCTGATAGTAATTGAGCAAACTCCCTCCTTCAGGTCTCATTGTAAAGCGCTTGCCACGAAAACTGGATGTGATGGAAGGAGAAAATGCAGCCTTCTATGTGGAGACCCGGGAACCTGTGGAAGCACCAAGTTGGGGCCGTAATGGGCAAGAACTGGTTGAGGCCCCACATACGCTTATTAGGAGCTTTGGGAAAACACATATTTTGGTATTGGTACATGTGTCACGGCATGATGCTGGAGTCATCACTTTCATGGCGGGCGACTCACAAACATCAGCACAGCTTCGTGTGAAATGTGAGTACAGAGCAGAAGTGGAACTATTGAAGAAGGGAAGGAGGAATCATGCTTTTCTACCTAGGGGTCATTCAATGTTTCTATTTGCTTTTGACATAAACATTATTCACCAAATGAACCTCTTACTAGGGGCCTGCAAATTATTTATCTTATCCCTTATCTTAGATTCAATGATGCCTGATATTTGGGACAAAGGAGGCTTGCCATATTAGATTACAGAGATCTACAACAAATTTAGATACATATTATGCTTAGTTATTTAGACTTGGCAATGATCTAGTTTGATCAAAGCTGTTTTAGAACTGATGTCAAATCAGGACAGAAGAATGAAATTACAGTACTGTACTATAACACTGCACTGTTCCAGATTGCTAAATCAATGTTTTATCTTTAGCAAACATATTTCCAAAGTGCTCATGGATGCTGCTGCTTTTGCTACTTCCTAAACTGGCATGGGCAAGTGCAAATTATGTCTGGCTGTACATCAGATGCTTCCCCCTCCCCCGCCCAATCATCTTACTTATCAGGCAGTCTCTCACAGGCCTCCACTTGTGATCAGATTCCTGCTGATGACTTGTAGCATCAGCTGCTGCCACAGTGTAGAAGATATGTAGTGGTTGTCTTCATCCATGCTTGGAAAGAAACCACTCAAAGGCCCATATAAACTGGGACATCAATCTATGAAACATCTAAGCAATTAATGGAAGTTATTTAATAGGGCCCAGTCTTACAATTACTAAAACATGTTTGAATATTCCACTTCTAGAAATTATCCACCACCACAATTGTTTTTTCTTCCTCATATTCACATTGTTTGGAACAATTGTAATTTGCACTCTCCCCTTCTAAGACTGAATTGTACATCTGAATTTTGCAAGGTTATATTTCCTCTGATTGATTTTAGAATCCATCAATCATATCTGAGCTTTATATTTATGTTGAAAGTGACCTCAAATTAAAATTTCAGACATCCTGGGAAAAGCTTGAGGATTTAGAAACATAAAGACCCGGATTTTTTGTTAGATGGATAGATTGTTAGGTGGTGCAGGGGTTAGGGTGCAGTACTGCAGGCCACTTCAGCTGACTGTTATCTGCAGTTCAGTGGTTCTAATCTCACCGGCTCAAGGTTGACTCAGCCTTCCATCCTTCCGACGTGGGTGAAATGAGGACCCAGACTGTGGGGGGCGATATGCTGACTCTGTAAACCGCTTAGAGAGGGCTGAAAGCCCTATGAAGCGGTATATAAGTCTAACTGCTATTGCTATTGCTATTGCTATTGCTATTGCTATTGCTATTGCTATTGCTATTGCTATTGCTATTGCTATTGCTATTGCTATTTATTTATTTATTTCCTAAGTCTGAGGTTCTTACATTGTCTGTCCATCCATCTATCCATCCATCTATCCATCCATCTATCCATCCATCCATCTGTGAGAAGTGTTCATTGGTTGTAGGTCTTGTGTTTCTGATTATCTACCTCAAAAGAGAATCAAATAACAGTTGGACAGCTTCCTCCAATGTAGTGCCCTCCATTTATGTAAAACTATAACTCCAACCACACCCAAACAGCATTGCTGGTTGGGGATGATAGAGGAGGATTTCAGCCTAACACAGTCTGAGGCATTGAACTGAAGGAATGCAGCTCTAGAATCTTAATTGTGTGTTTGGGGGGGGGGGGGGCAGGAGGGAAACAAGAAGAACTCTTAGCTAATCAAGTACACTTCTCCTGCACTGCAAGTCAGAGAGCTTATGAATCTGTTGTTCAGGGACAGTTACATAGATGGTCCATTTATATTTCTGCAAATGTAATGTTCTGGCTGGGGTGGGGGCCACTCAAACAGCAAAGCACAGAGCATGTTGATTGGATCAACCAATCAACATGCAGGATATGCACCTCTGCACACCTATGCATTTGGGAGGTGTTTGCATTGGCATCTACAGCCATCAGCAACCTATGCTTACCTGACAATCCCTTTGCAGTGTAGGTTTGCAGCGATGGCTGTAGGAAGTTGTGGGCAACTCTAAATCAGCCTTTAAGAGACCTGTAACTGAGTTTAATATGAATAACTCTTGATCAAGAGTTCTTGTACTTGAAATGTCTTGGGAACAGGTTCATCATGGATAAAAAGGTGTTCTATCTTCAGTTGTTTTTGTTATCTTTTTTTTTTGTTTTTTGCTGCAGTCCAACAATCTTTCGACTTCCTGCTTCCACAGGAGGACTTGGGAAGTTTCCTTTGTTGCTAAAAGTAAAATATATTCTGGGAAGCTGCATTCTAAAGGAAGCTCTGTAGCATTTGCATTTCTCTCAATAATTCTCCATCCATTTCCAATGTTCAATAAATATTCTGTTAAAAACGATCTCCATACTTTAGTTTTCCTCCACTCACATATAATTTGCAGTCATTCTATTTTACATGCAAAATCAACTAACTCTGACATATTAATTTTGGAATTCATATGCCTCACTGCAGGATGCGTACCTAACATTCATCACAAACTGTTCAGTTTCTCAGCCAACAATATGGCAACGACTGCATATAAAATGAAATATACTTTTGTGTCCTGATATACATATTTATAATGTCACCCCAAGGATTTTTATACATTTAATACATCAGGCAACCTAGGGGATATCTCACTTCTTCCTTCCTGCTCAGTGTTGAAGCATTTGCTAAGTCTTCAGTTTATTATGACATAAGCTTTACTACCATCATACACTGCTATTATCCCTTTGAGAAATCAACCTTCATATATGTGCAAATCAGTCCACAATTTAACCCTAATCAGTTTATCATACAATTCTTTAAACCAACAAACTATAATTAAATTTCTTTTTAAAATTTTTTCATAACAATTAACAATTGAAATTAGCCCTTCAATTAAATGAATTCCACTCAATATTAATTATATTTTGTTTTCTTAATGTTGTGAGATTGTGTCACTATAACTTGAGAGTTTACCACTAAATATTTTGCTAGTGAGAATGTAGGGGGAGGTGTCTCAAAATGGGCCTATGCATCACTTGTAGTTTGCATACTGCAGCACAGAAATATTATTTTCTGCAGTCACGCTCAGCTCCAGGTTACGTCATTCTCATGTCCCTGTAGTTTTCTTGACAACTGTAAGAATATGGTACAGTTAGCTGCAAAGACTTAGTTCTGACACATTGCCGGAAATTAGGAATGGGCTGGAAGAAAGCCATTAATCTGAAAGAGATTCCTGTGAACATGGAAATTCAGTGGGAAGATGGCTCACTTTTCAGAGAGATTGTGCCCAGCCTGTGGATGGGATTCTACTCACAGAAACACATTTATAATTTGTGGATCTTCCTAAAGCCAACTTTATCCCTAGACGCGAAGCTTAGGCTAACAAGTTATGGTTAGTTACCTCTTTGGGACAGAAATAGTCCAGTCACAGATATGTTTCATAGAACAAATCTACATTTAATTGGCTATTGTAAAATGCTGCACTTTGCAGAGATTTTAGAAGTTTTAATTACTCCACAAGGTTTGTGGGGAATAGGTGGTTATTGCAGGAAGAAGATAATATAAAGGATTTCTTTTTCCTAGGTGCCAAAAGGATTCCACCAAGTGCACCTGTGGAAGTAAAGATGTGCACCAGACATAGCAATGCTGCCCTCCTGGCGTGGTGCCCACCACCAAATCTACATCGTAGCCCACCAAGCAGCTACATCCTTGAGAGGCAGACTGTAGGAGAGGCTGAGTGGGTGCCTTGCCTAACCACTGATGTCGCTAGCATGGTTGAAGTTCCAGGGGATGGTGTGCCCCAGGAGGCTGACTACCGCTTCCGTGTATGCTCTGCCAATCAGTATGGGTGCAGTGAGCATGTGGAATTCCCAGGCTCCGTGCATCTTGGTAAGCCTCCCTGCTCCTCAAAGGTGGGGCTTCCTCTTTGCATAAGGATCTCTCTTCTGATTTTGGCTGCTTTGTGACTGGCAAGTTCCTCAGGCACTGACTAGTCAATTGCTTTTTCCTTCTCCCACTGCACACTAGTGCACTAGTCTGCTTTCCCCAACTGGCTGTTCTTCATTTGCATCCTTCTTACACATTCAGGTTGCTGAATACCTTCCTTTTTTCCCTTTTCTTTCAGAGTTTGAGCTCTACTGGAATAATTTATCCTGTATGCTTGGTTTTGCAAATTATGCTAGCTGTGTGTATGCACCTGCTATTGGATCTACAACCAGCGGGGTCTGTACAGCTGCTAACTTTTAAAGCCTAGATTTGCAAATCCAAATGACTAGAGTCATCATAACACATTTGTCTCAAAGAATAAACTTAAGACTAAGAAATATTACCTTGATGGAGATATACCAGGTCTGTTTAAACCCCACCAAAGGACGGTTTAGTTTTATTGAGAACAGTAGGTTTGGTAATAGATCTCCATCAAGAGCCTTCTCTCTACATAACTATATAGGGTTGTAGGGCTGATATTACTCTCCCAACCTTTGATTGTTCTTCCAGTGCCCAGAGCCCATATAAAGGAGGGACTGCAAGATGTGACGGTTTGTATCAATGAGGATGCCACTTTTTCAGTGAAGCTGTCAGCTCCCATGTCTGGTTGCTGGTACCTCAGTGGGAAGAGGCTGGCAAAGGAAGAGGAAGACCAGCAGTACCTCATCATGCACAGTGGAGTGAGCCATACTTTGCAGGTCAAAAATGTGCAGTTAGCTGCCAATGGGTCCGAGGTGCGATTTGAAGCCAATGGTGTGAAAGAATCAGCAGTGTTGCATGTACAAGGTGAGCTCTTAGTTGGTTCTGAGAACAGATCAGTAATTAGAAACAATTATATTTATTTATTAATTAAAATTGTGTGTGCACGTGCAATAGTGCACACACGTGTGCCCCACACCCATAATGCAATGAGCCCCATCCACCTGTGCATAAGCACATGACCCCCCTGAGCATGTATGTGTGACCGCCCCTCCCCATGGGGGGAGAGTTTTTGCCCTCTCCAGGCTCCGGAGGCTGTACTCAAACCTCTGGGAGGTCGAAATGGCCTCCCCTGGGCTCTGAAGGCTCTCTAGAGGCTGGAAACACACCCGTTTCTGAACTTCAGAAAGTCCTGTTTTTTGCCCTCCCTGGGTTCCAGGAGCTTTTTTCAAGCCTCCAGGAGGGCGAAAATGGCATCCCCAAGGCTTCAGAGGCCCTCCCTAAAGCCTCCTGTTGCCAAAAATGGAGTGGGAGTGCACTACACCCCCCCACTCCACTCCCCCACGCATGTGCACACATTTCCTGCATGCATGGCAGACCCGAAAATCAGCTGGACAGCGGGAGGTGCGTGTGCATGTGCAGTGGAGCTGCACTGGTCTACGGCTCACATGCCTGCATAGATTTTGGATTTGGATTTTATTATATTTATATGCCGCCCTTTCCCCCCGAAGGGGACTCAGGGTGGCTCACAACTCAAATCAGGGAGGGGGGGGGTACAGACAAAAAATAAACAAAACATAACAATGCATAATTTAAAAACACACAACAGTCATACCATTCGAGACGGGGGCAACAGCTCTTTAGCCCCTGTCGGAACAGCCAGGTTTTAAGGGCTTTGCGGAAGGCCTGGAGGGTGGTGAGGGTTCGAATCTCCACGGGGAG